CCGCTCATGGACCACGCGCCTGGCGCGACGCGCAGGGCGGGGAGGGGTGAGTGCGCCTACTGCAAGATCCTGGCCTGGGGCTCGGGCTCGACCCTCCGCCACACGTCGCTCTTGGACCAGATGATCTGCTCGCCCCGCAGGACCCCGCTGAGCATCTGCCCGAGGAAGGTCATGTGGACGGTGGCACCCCTGAGAACCACCTCCGTAGCTCCATCGCTGTCGTCGGGGTGGTGGGCCCAGTGCATCACTGATCCTGCGATGGTGCCTACTTTGCCGCAGCTGTCGAACCAACTGCCGTCCAGCGGCCCGCGGTTGATGTCGCTGGCGTGCGAGGAGTCGGAGCCGGCCCTGGTCTCGTCGTCCGAGGTACCCTTCGGCGAGCCCGGTGGCGAGGACTCGGACGCCTCGTGGAGGGCGGCTTGCGGGGGCTCGAGGCCGGGCGGCGGCAGGAAGCCCTCTGGCAGCCTCGGCCTGCTGTGTGCCTGGCGACTTGCTTCTGCACGATCAGCCACGCGAGGCGACGCCGCACTTGAAGCACTCCTCGGCTTCCCCGCGGCCGCCTGAATCTGCTCCTCCTCGAGCTCCTTTTTCGTCGCGATGTTCACCAGCCGCTTCTGCGGATGTCTCGACGCCGCGACTGCCTCCGCGCGCGGGAGCTCGCCAGGGCCGCCGAACTCCTCCGGGCGGTCGGCGCCAGCGCGCCAGGTGGGCACATCTGCTGTTGTGAGCGCCCCGCCCTCCACCACCGCGCCACGGCCACACCCGCTCCTCTGGGGAAAACAACAGGTGTCGATACCGCTACTCCCAGGATCTCGCCTGGGGTGCGCTGTGACCAGAATCCTGACGCGAATCCAACGGTGGCGACGAGGGCCTGCACAGGATGCCTGAAACGGCTTCACCGAGCCGAGGGTAGCGGTATCTAGAAGAACAAGAAGAAACAACAACTGCATAATTGGCGCTCCGCGCGGATTTCTTGGACCTGCGCTGGACACCCCTCCACTGCGCGCGCAGCGCGCCAGGGGCGGCGCCGGAAGCGCCGCCAGGGGGCCCCAACGCGGATCCAAAAAACCCGCGTGGAGCGCCAACGAATTGTGTATATGTGCTTTTGTTTTTATTCGATCTCTTCTGGTCCTCTTGCCGGCCAACTTCTCGCACGGCTGGTCCCCCGCCCCGTCGCCCTGCTCCGCGCCGTCCTCCCGCGGGCGCCACGGGGGCCGCGGCTTCCGTATCTTCTCCGCGGAACCCGGCCTGGAGGACGAGCGGCAGGAGAGCTCGGCCGTGCTGTCTCCTCCCGAGCCGGTGGACTCCGACCGCCAGCTCGGCGAGCGCGTTGCGCCTGTCAGCATCATGTACCCGACCCCCATCCCAAGCGGCATGGCCTGGGCCCCGCTGGCCGATTACCTCCCCCCCCAGATGGGGATGTCAGGGTGAGGGGGCCGAGCGGTCATTCATTGTCCCTGGGTGCGTGGCTGAAGTGAGAATCCGTGGTGAAGATTTTGTTTGTTGCGTTGTTGTTGTTGTTGTTGTTGTTGTTGCTGTTGTTGTTGTTTGTTGTCATCCCCCCCCCCGCCACCCAACCAGCGACCCACCTCGCGACCCACCCCGCGACCCACCCCGCGACCCACCCCGCGACCCACCCAACGACACACCCGCGACCCAACCCGCTACCCACCCGCGACCCACCCCGCGACTCACCCACGACCCACCCGCGACCCACCCGCGACCCACCCGCGACCCACCTCACGACCCACCCGCGAACCACCCGCGACCCATCTGCGACCCACCCGCGACCCACCTCGCGACCCACTTGCGACCCACCCCGCGACCCACCCGCAATCCACCCGCGACCCACCCGCGACCGATCCACGTTGGCTCGAAGAAAAGATCGGCGCGTGTTTGAAAAACTTTGGCGCCTGCGGCGAGCCTCTCTGGAGTCTCGCAGACAGCCGACGTCCCCGCCGCCCGCCCACTCGTATCCGCATTTGCGGTCTACCTAGGCCGTCCACATCGGGTGTCGAGGGGTGTACCCCCAACTGGGGTGGTAAATTGGTGGGGGTCTCGAAGGGGATGGGGATGGGGATGAGGATGGGGGCTGGTTGAACGAAACTGAGCCTGGCTTCGCCCGCCAGACGAAGCGCGGGGTCCGTGCGCCTGGCCTGCACCAGATCAGGACGTCGCTGTTCGCCTCCACGCCGACCTCGCAGTAGAACGATGCCCTGTGTCCCCACCAGATCTTGCCAGAGGCCTCGTCGGGAATCACAGTGAACGTCTTAGAGCAACCGTCTTTTCCCCAACGCGTGCACGTCCAAGCCTCGCCCACCTCAAGAAGGTACGTATCGCCCTTGTTGCATTCCCACTCGCGGCATAGGTTGGTGCCGAACGCGTCCTCGGCTTTCGTGGTGTGCTTTACGTGTTTCATTTTATGAGTGGTGATCTTCGGCGAGGGGAACCGAATGTCCTCAGCCGAGTGGCGCAAAACCGGCTGCCAAGAAAAAACCATCGTGGCCGATATCCCTGATCACACAGCGCCCGGTTGCGACAGGCGCTCTCCCGTCTCAGAACCAAATGCTTGAACCAAAATGACGACGGATCATGTCGGGGCCCTTCAGGGCCTACGTTGGCTGTTTTTGGAACGTCGTTGGCACCCCCTTGGGCCATCTTGGGGCGCTACTGGGTGCCTCATCGTCTCGGGCGCTCTGAAGACGAAGAAAGCGACCACGCTGATATCAATGACAATTACAGCGGGTAACCAATGACTGTAACTTCGCTTTGGGGTCCACGGACAGCCCACGAACAAGACAGCCCAAGAGGGCTCCCGGACGGCTCGAACACGGAGTCCACAGTGCACCTTTTTCGAGCCTTCGGCTCCAAAACGCTCCTCCAAGAACACCCCAAAAGGACCTGCGGGACCTCCCAGAAAGCCTCCGAGGCCTCCAAGAAGCCACGAGGAAGTCCTCAAAAGGCACCCAAACTACATGCAACACGACCCCGTCAAGCCTCGCCCGAGATCTTCTTCACCATCCGTGTGGCCACCTCCCTGTATACTGCGCAATGCGGCGGGATGGGATGCGCCGCGTCTGTGTCGACAACGACTCGTCCAGTTTTTGGACCGCCTCATGCAGACTATGGGCGCGGGTGTTGACAGGCATTTTCCCCAAATCGTCACTCCTCCTCCTCCTCCCCCTCCCCGTCCGATGAGCCTCCTCCGCCTCTCCCTCATCCTCCCCCTCTTCGTCCTCCTCCTCCTCCGTTTTCCCCTGTTTGGTACCATGTCACCATCTCCGCGTCTCATCATCAACACCAGCACCACCAGCATCATCATCGCCATCACCCGCACCATGACCACAGGCATCACCATCACCACCACCACCACCACGGATCACCATCACCACCGCCACGGATCACTGCCTTGTCGCGCGTCTGGCCACAATGTGATGCAACCCGCGTCCGCCATCCCCATTCGGGGCCTCCAGACTTGCAAGACTCGCCCCGTGAACGGCCCCACATGCCCCCGGACTCGCTCGGGGATGGCCCCGAAGAGCCTCGAGCCCGCCCACCCAAAAAAACAAAACAACACAAGTACGCCCCAGGACAACAACACGACATCCCCAAGACGATCAAGGGGTCGGCGGATGTGGCGTTAGCCTATAGAAACAATGACTGTCACTTCTCGGAGGCCTGCTGGCGGTACCCTTGGACCGCTCTTGGCGCGTCGTGGGCCGTCGTAAAAAAATCGATGTCGGCGTCAGACTGGGCAAGCGAGGACACGTCGTGGCATGATTGGCGATCTCCTGGCGCCGCTTGGACGTCGAATTTGCGACTTCGACTACCCTTGAAGCCCAAATCCGCCGACTCCTTGGGGTTCGTCGGCGCGCGAAATGCCCCCCCCCCCCCCCCCCCCGAACCCCTCCCCCGGGAGCCCGGTCCGGTCGATTTGGAGGGGGGGGGTCGGGCCGGATCCGCCGGGGGGGTCATCCGCTCCAAGAAATCGTGCACGGGCTCCTCCGCGGCCTCGAAATGGTCGAGACAGCCCACGACGCCTCCAAGATGCTCCAAGAGGCCTCGAAGAGGCACCCCAAAAAGGCCTCGAAGAAGCCAAAATCATCCATTCCCAATGGGAAAACGCGCGTTTTAGCACGCACGGCTTTCCGGCCTTCACGGCGGCGAAGCCAGTCCAAGGGGCTCCCAAGACCACCCCAATACGTCCGAAGAGGCCCCCGAGAAGCGCCCAAGACGGCCCAAGCGGGCGCCAAAGACAGCCCAAGCGGCTCCCAAAACGGCCGGAAAGGGCCCCAAGACGGCTCCCAGAGAGGGTAGCCCGCACCGAAAATCCGAGCCTTCCGCTCCCAGGCGGCTCCAAGACACCCCCAGAGGCGCCCGAAAAGCCCCCAGAGGGTCCCAAGACGCCCCCGAAAAGCCCCCAAGAGGCCCACAAGAAGTCCCAAGAGTCCCCAAAACGGCCCTCAGGAGGCTTCGAGACTACCGTCAAGAGGCCTGCGAGCAGTTTCCCCAAGGCGATCCAAGCGAACGCCGCACAAGCCTCATGACTCATGCCCACAACCCGGGCCCAGCGGCCAGACCCCTCGCAATTTCCGTTCCTTGCCGCCGTGCTCGTCGCTTCTCTCCGCGGCGGTTCTCTCCGCAGCGCCCGCCCCGCCTTATAGCACTTCGCGCAAGACACTGGATTGCCCCGCTTGAACAAAATATTCTTCTGGTCCTTCGACAGATGGCCCCCGTCTGCGAAGGCGGGCTTCGACCCGTCCTTTTTCGGGGGACGCGCAGAGCGTTCAAACTTATTCGCCGCCCTGCGCGCATCGGGGCACGCCCGGCGCGCTACTGGCCTATGGTGGATGCCCGCCTGGTGGTACTTCTTGATCTGGTCTGACGTCAGATGCCCCGCGCCCTCGAACTCTGGGCTACTCCCGTCCGCTCACGGGCGTTAGGAACCCATGTGTTTTCACGGTTGCCCCGCGCTGGGGCGTTAGGAGCCCGCGCGTTTCCACGCATGCCCCGATCTTGGACGTTAGGAACCATGTGTTTTCACGCCTGCCCCGCTCTGGGGCGTTAGGAACCCACGTGTCTTCGGGGCAACCCGCAGCGCCGCCCAGACGCACCCCCGAGCCCCAAGACTTCCCCCCCAAACCCAACGAAGCAACATATTCCGAATCCCTTTTGGGCCGACGTGGAGGCACCAAAAAGGCCTCCAGAAAACACCAAAAGCCAACCATAAGGATCCGAAAAGGCGCCCTAGAAGGCCTCGCAAAGCAAAACGCGGCAACCGCGAGTTCCCCAAGGGGTCGGCGGTGCGGCGCAAGCCTGAAAAACCAGGTCCGGAAGTGACGCGTCGAGCGGCAGCGTTTTCCGCGGATGCTGTAATGCAGTGGATCGATCCAGTGTGTCCAATGTTTACATAATTCCCATCTGCTGTATTGTGTTGCATGATTATGTCTCCCCCCCGACCCCCCCCCTGCAGTCGCGCCACATGCGCGGACCAAAATGCCCCCCCCCCTCCGGGGCCATAAAAACCGACAAAAACTTCTGACAATCAGCAAATTCGACCCCTTGGGCCTCTTGGGGCTCCAAGAGGGCCCCAAGATGGCCCAAGATGACCCCAAGACGGCCCAATGGATTCCCAACGGGGGCCCATGAGGCCCCCAAGACGGCCCCAAAAGCTCCAAGGACGGCCCAAGAGGGCCCCAAGAGCGCCCGCAACTGCGCCTCCAGAGGCCGAAGACATTGTATTTTCCTATGGTTTTTGCAATAGATTAGCGTTCTCGTCTTTATCGATATTAACAAATCCATGACGGCCCAAGCAACTTCCATAATCGCCCCAGAACAAACAAAAGAAAAACCAAGAGGGCTCCAAGACGGCCCAGGAGGGCCCCAAAACAACCCAAAGAGGCCCCCAAAACGGTCCAAGAGGCCGCGAAGACGGCCCTAGAGGGCCCCAAGAGGGCTCCAACGCGGCCGCGAGAGGCCCCCAGGACCACCTCCGAGGGGGCGAAACGGAGCAAAAACGCCAAGACGGCCGAAGACGCCCCGAAGAGGCCCCAAGAGGCCGCCAAGAAGCCTCCAATAAGCTCCCCAGAAGCCTCCAAAAGGTCTCCAAAAAGCACCCCAAAGACCACAAAGCGACTGGAGTGCAATGCCATTTTTCTCCCTCTGGGCGAACTGCGGCGCAGCGCCAGCCATGTGGAAGTTGGCCACTGCGGCGCCCATGATTAGAGCCGGCGCTGGAAGGAAATACGGGGGGGGGATCTGAAAAGGAGGGGGGAAAAGGCCCCAAAGAAGCTCCCAGGAGGCCTCCAGGAGGCCCCCAAGAGGCTCCCAAGAGGCCCCGCGACGACGCGACTGCACGTGCCCCAGGCGTGCACCCCGCGAAGCGAGAGGAATCCACGTCCGGCAGTGACGTGCTGAGCGGCAGCGTTTTCCGCGGATGCTGCAACGCAATGGATCCAATGTGTCCAATGTTTGCATCATTCTCACATGCTGTATTTCGTTGCATTATCATGCCCCCCCCCCCTAACCCCCCCGGGAGCTGCGCCGCATGAGCGGACCAAAGTGCCCCCCCCCTCCCGGGACTCAAAAACCCACCAAAACCTATTGAAAATCTATGATTGCAACCTCTTGGGCCTCTTGGGGGGGCAGAAGGGCGCCAAGACGGTTGAAGATGGGCTCTGCGCGGGCCAAGACGGCCCCGAGACGGTCCCATAAGTCTCCTTCGCGGCGACGTTCGACCGCGATGCCACCCAGAGGGGGGAATACGGCACCCAAACAACGTTGGGTGAGGCCGCGGCCGTGCGCCAACAGCCGACGCGCCAGCCCGCCGCGTCAAACGACGCAGGCGGCTGGCGCGCCAGGGCGCAGGCCGAAGCACATGGGCACCACGCCCCCCCTCGAGGGCGGTGGGTGGGAGAAAAGTCGCGCGACCGCGGTCGCGCCCGACGCGCTCTGGCGAACGGGCGCCCCGCGCGTCGCCCCCAGGGTTGGCCCAGAGCCGCGCGCTGGCAGATAGAGGACCACGCCCCGGCCAGCCGCCCCACCTTAAGAGTGCACACTAGGCAGGTGGGGCGCTGCAGACATGACCGGGCGCTCGATATCCCGCCCCGCGGCCAGGCGGCAAAGAGGAGACATCGCGACCGTGCGCGGAGGAGCGGAAGGAGGAAGGACCCCGACGCACGGCCGCGCGGCACGCCAGCATGCCCGCGCGGGGCCTGGCCCGCCCGACGTAGCGGCGGCGCGTGGCGGGTGGACATGCGGGCGCCCGCCATCGCGCGGTGCGCCGACGGCGGGACACTCCCGCCTGGGGGCGTCGACTTATGACTTGCAATAACAAGTTATCACTGCCCCGTAAGTCTCCTTCGCGGCGACGTTCGACCGCGATGCCACCCAGAGGGGGGAATACGGCACCCAAACAACGTTGGGTGAGGCCGCGGCCGCGCGCCAACAGCCGACGCGCCAGCCCACCGCCTCAAACGACACAGGCGGCTGGCGCGCCAG